TGTATTTGTCGAATGACAGCCCAACGTAGTATCACGAAATATCCGCGTAAAGACTGGAAGATTGTGAGAGGTCAGCAAACGAATGCACCCCTGGACGAACGACCAACAGGAGCTGCTCATTAAATATTTTTTTCGCATCGCGTGCGAACCACATACGCATCTGTTGTTTTTCCCTATTTCGATAAAAGGAAGAAAAGAAATATTATTTTCCTCCCTGTTTTCGAGCATCGGTATCGTGATTGCGAATTGCTCTTGCTTTAAATATGCAATGATTTATGCAGGACATCGACAGGGCGATGTATGTCCGATGGTGAATCACGTCCCGGAGATCTTTAGAAAAGTTTTGAAAATGTAGTGGATGAAAAGACTTCGAACAAAGAACATAAAATTAAATTGCCACAAAACATGTATACATGTATACATGTATGTTTCTCTATTTAATATCCGAACTATGTAATATTCGTTTGAATGCTATAGCAATATTTGGCAAGGAATCAATAATTGAATTTCGAGACTGATAAAAGTGAAGATGTTCATTATAAAATGAAACTGAAGTATATTGTGTGACATATTGTAGGAAATGATTTAATAAGTGTCAATATTGGAGAGGTATTTATTCGACAAATATTAATTTTCTTCCGCGATTTTTCTTCTTTTTATCTAACTTTAACTAGATGTACATTGTATTTAATTTTTGGATAATTTAGAATGCTTATACTACGCTATTTAAATTATTCTTATTTTAGCGAATATATTTCTAAAAATAGCCTGTGTAGTGTGTGATACGTATTTTTCTACCGAACTATTTACATATTATATTCGATTTTGTTTTATTATACAAGCACTATAATATGGATATGATGTTTTTATTGTGTCGCCAATAATACCGATAAGTATGATCCTGCAGAATTCATAATCTATAACAACGTATGCGTCAAAGAGTTTAATATACTACCATTATATATATGAAACAATAACATTTGAACATTTAAGATATTACTGCAAGAATGTATTTTAAAGAACCTATGTAATGAAGGAGGAAAAACAAATAAGTAAATATATAAATTTAGAAAATATATACATATTACGATAAATGTTATATAAATGTTGGGATCACAAATTTTATTTTATATAATACGTAGAAATCTTACGCTTGCAAAGCATTGTAACGAGAGATCCGTCATCTTCCCAACTGTAAGTGTCAATTGTTTCTGCGCTCTCACTATCATGAATAACAAAATACGACTGTATTCAGGCTCCAAGTTGTACCAGGCGATATTGTACGCAGCTAATCCTATTACCTTGCTCTGAATGAAGATAAAAATATAATATAGAAATCTTACATATATATTACGGTTCTCTTGAATTTTATCGTAATCGTTGCATGACAATCATAGAATTATTCAACAAGAATCAAGATCGTTATAATTATTACTAACCTTATTTATCAGATATTCCCCAGCATAGCAGAATATGAACGCTTCGATATTCGTCACGCTATAATACGAAACGGCTCTCACTATCTTTTCTGTCGCGTTGGGATTGCCGAGCGCCTACAATATCGAAACACGTTATATCATAAATAATTCAACGTATAAGTAGTTGTTTCTATCGGCGCAATGAAATATAAAAAAAATCCATAAGGTAAAAAAATGGTGCAAACACGATGCGCGATTAATCAGGTGACAATTAATTTTGCAGAATAAATATAATTATTTCTACTTATAATATTTAATATATATCTTTTATTTTACTCACTGTTATGATTAAAAATCCTATTAGGCAAATCATTATCGTGTTTGATATAAATTGCATGAACGCAATATACGTATACAAGCTCTCAATATTTTTCGCGAAATAAATGATTTTCTGATGTTTCCAAATAACTTTTTTCATCGTAATGGCAATAGATTCACGTTTATTCTCTTTGGATATCAGCTCCGTTAACCAGCAATGCAGGATATTTATTTGACCACCTACGTGGAAGATCTAAAAAGAAAGATGATTACCGTTCGTAAAACGAAGATTCGTATTCAAATAGCGAGAAAAAACGTAACAATTATTAAGGATAAATTTGGCAAAACGCACAGAACCGACCTATTTGACAAAAAAATATGTACCAATTAAGTTATCTACTGATTTTTTAAATCTATTTTTATTAGAATTATTATAATGGATATGTGTCTGTGTTTATTAATTGCACATATTTTTGTGTGCAACTCACCAAAATTATCAGTAAAGCGTTTAGATTACCCAAGCCCCAGCTACACATGATAAGATGTATCAATTCCACAATTAACACGACTCTATATGTGTATTGCGTGTTTATGATGGAAGGAACTTCCGCTTTGTAAATGTGGGGTAGTTCGATCGTACGATCGGTGACGTTGACGTTGGCCAGAATGATACCGATGCCGTATAAGAGCGGGACAACTGTGTGAAGAGTCATGATTGCATTGGCAATACGATTCGATATCTTTTCTTTGTTTACTACTTCCTGCATCTCCATATTACTTTTGGCGCAATCGTTCCAATCTTCCGCCATCATCGTCAAGGTTTCATTGAATATTCTACGCATGATCGCATACATTGCGAATTTAATGACGATTGTATGTTTAAATCTTAATTTATTAATTTTGTCTTGAAATTAAGCACAACAATAAATGCGAGAAAGAAAGGGAGCATATGAAGAATATTAAAATATAAGTAGAATACGTAACTTTTAAATTTAATAAATGTCACGAATTCATGCATATATAATTCAAGCAGATAGTTTACATTTTAATTAAACGCAAATTCATATATATATGGAATAAAATAACGGTCTTACTGTTAAACACAGAATAATATACTTATTATAATATATTCTCGCATATTATTTACTTTATTAACTGTGTATCGCGCTACTTACCGCTGATTCAACCAAAAGAAAAGAACCTTGATCATTAATTTCAAGAATCCTATGAAACTACTAAAACAGTCCATCAAGTCGAACACGTCGACAGAATGATAATGTGTCAAGAAATATAGATAATGGCAAAGTAGAACGATTACTATTGTGACGGTCCAAAATATTCTGCACAACGTAATGCACGATATACCTGGCCAGATACCGAACAGGATGAGCACAAATTTTGTCGTACGATTAATTGTAGTTTTACACGTCATAACTTTGTATCTCTCCTTGCTCTCTCCGCATATATCAAGAATACATATGTCGTTTGTGTACTAACGAGTACACCAAGATATATGTGAGTATACTAGAAAAAATACGTGCAAAGGAAAAAGAGTAATATAATTTTGCCTAAATGTATTTGTCGAATGACAGCCCAACGTAGTATCACGAAATATCCGCGTAAAGACTGGAAGATTGTGAGAGGTCAGCAAACGAATGCACCCCTGGACGAACGACCAACAGGAGCTGCTCATTAAATATTTTTTTCGCATCGCGTGCGAACCACATACGCATCTGTTGTTTTTCCCTATTTCGATAAAAGGAAGAAAAGAAATATTATTTTCCTCCCTGTTTTCGAGCATCGGTATCGTGATTGCGAATTGCTCTTGCTTTAAATATGCAATGATTTATGCAGGACATCGACAGGGCGATGTATGTCCGATGGTGAATCACGTCCCGGAGATCTTTAGAAAAGTTTTAGAAATCTAGTGGATGAAAAGACTTCGAACAAAGAACATAAAATTAAATTGCCACAAAACATGTATACATGTATACATGTATGTTTCTCTATTTAATATCCGAACTATGTAATATTCGTTTGAATGCTATAGCAATATTTGGCAAGGAATCAATAATTGAATTTCGAGACTGATAAAAGTGAAGATGTTCATTATAAAATGAAACTGAAGTATATTGTGTGACATATTGTAGGAAATGATTTAATAAGTGTCAATATTGGAGAGATATTTATTCGACAAATATTAATTTTCTTCCACGATTTTTCTTCTTTTTATCTAACTTTAACTAGGTGTACATTGTATTTAATTTTTGGATAATTTAGAATGCTTATACTACGCTTTTTAAATTATTTTTATTTTAGCGAATGTATTTCTAAAAATAGCCTGTGTAGTTTGTGATACGTATTTTTCTACCTAACTATTTACATATTATATTTGATTGTGCTTTATTATACAAGCACTATGATGTGGATATGATGTATTTATTGCATTGCCAACATTACTGATAAATATGATCCTGAAGCATTCATGATCTATAACAATATTGTTTTTTGCATTATAAAAGATTATAAATATATCTTATATACATATATAATTAATTATATATGTATATAATTGTTGAGAAAGCAATATTTAAAAAATGCACTTATTGATTAATATAATTAAATATATAAAATAAGAAAATATATTCTTACACTTGCAAAATATTCTAAGGAAAGATTTGTCAACTTCCCAACAGTAAGCGTCAGTTGTCTTTGCGATCTTAATATTATAAGTAACAAGATACGAGTCTCTTCAGGCTTTAAGTTGTACCATGCGGAATTATACGCTGTGATTCCGATCGCTTTACTCTACCAAAAATAATGAAAACATTTTGACTGGCATATTTTGTTATATATACTATCATACTATATTACATCTTTAATAATTTATTTTTACTGTTGTCTTATTAACACGGCAAATCAAACGTAGAAACATCAAAATAGAAACATCCGTTATCAATATTTTGTCGTTGTTATAAATATCGTCTTTAGCCGCTAACCTTGTTATTCAGATATTCTCCAGCAAAGCAGAATAGGAAAGCTTCGAGATTCGTTATAGCGTAAAATAAGAGAGATCTTATTATCTGCTCTGTCGCATTAGGCGTACCAATCGCCTGTAATGTCAGAATGGTACGCGAGAGAATTTTTAGTTTACTTAGGCAAAATTGTAAATAATCGATATATTTTATCTATGTTGTAAAATGTAACGGAGTCAATTAAATTAATTATTAATAAATACGCGATAAATAGCAGCAATTTTATCGACTGTGGACAGTATTTTAATATCAGTTCCTTACTTACGCTTACGATGAGAAATGCCAGGGAGCAAATCATTATCGTGTTCGACGCAAACTGCAATAGCGCGATGTACGTGTACAGATTCTCGATTTTCTCCGAAAAGTTGATGATTCTCTGATGTTTTTCGATGATTTCATTTGTAGCGAATGAAGTGCGTTTTTTTCCACTCTTGTTTGATGCAAAATCCGTCAACCAGCTATGCAGTATGTCTATTTGACCGCCTATGTGTAAAACCTGAAAATAAGAAATCTATGTACGTACTCTAATATCATTAAAATTCGCGAACGCTCTATATTCGAGCGCTAGACGGAAAGCATATAATACGAGGCGTGAAAGAAACGAATCTCACAAGATAAAGAGATCCAGCTTCAAATCTTTTCAAATCTTGATGTCGTCAGACAGTTTTATTTGCTATCATGAGAATTATATATTATTCGTGATAATTGCTTACGTAACGTACCAAAGTTAAGAGCAAAGAATTTACAGCACCAGCAGCCCAGCTGCACATGATGACGTACGCGAATTGCGCGATTACGACCATTTTATATACTCTTTGCGTGTTTATGTCGAAGGGAAATTCCATTTTATGGATATAGGGTGGCTCGGACGCACGATCGGTGATATCGACATTGGCCAGGACGATGCGTGTGCCGTATGCAACGACGCTTAACGTATGTAGGACGAATATTGCGTTAGTGATACGATCGGACAATTTCGCTTTATCCATTATCTTTTGCATGCCAATTTCATTGTCGGCGCAATCATGCCAATCTTTCGCCATCATCGCCAATGTCTTGATGAACTCTCTGTGAATGAATGGATTTATCAATTATCTTATCAATCATAAAAAAAATGTTTTCAAGCTCTTAGAAAGTCGTCTCCAAACGTTATGGAGCAACTCTTGTAATATACCATAATGTTAAAATGTTAGCTTTTTTTTAGCTTTTCTAATTCTTTTTTGTAAAATTAAGCAATAGCATTTGGCATGTATTATAAAATTATTAAATGTAATTGTATATTCCAATGTGTAATCTAATAGCGAACACAATGCAATTAATCGAATCAACAAATAAATCATAGATTCCGGCAATTGCGAAAAACATACAAACACATATATCTCATATATATATA